CTTCCTTGGTTTCAGATCAGCTAGAAAAGAGAGGGGTCGCCCTGCTGCAGAAGCCCTTCCCTAAACGTAACTGCCACATGGCAGCAGAGGCATTTTCCAGATTCACCACAGATGCCAGCTGCACAATAGTTGGAAAGTGTTCTCCTTGGGAAAGATGTGGCCCAGGAAAACTCAGCACGCAAATCGCAGAGGCCACGGCTGTGAATCGATGCCATGGACGACACAGGAAGAGCCCTGCACTGCTGCTGCCTTGGTCTTCACAGCTGGCTCACCCGTCCTGAAGTGGACTACGCAGCCCATCAGTCACCCCCTCTGACCTCTAGGAAGGCTGTGGTTGGCTTACTCAGGGATCAGGGACCCACCTTGGCAGGCCCCTGCCTGCCACCCTCTCAACTAAGTTCCAAGGCGGCTCAGGGATCAGGCCCCTCTGAATCTGCCCACCTTCCAGTTCTCCTCCCGGAGCGGAGATTTTGGACATGCAAAGGTAGCTGGTGCCAATGATGTCGTTGTGGGTGACACGGTCCCTGAAAACAAAAAACGTCGATTTGATTGAAATGCATTCAATCCACAGTTGCCCACTAATCATGATACTTTTCTACTAAGATCAAGGTTTTCATCCCGATCAGAGCACCTTCAGCTGAAAGATCTCTTGTAACTTTGGAAATCTCAGAGCTCCGGAAATCTTCTGAATTCCAGGAGTTAGAGTTTCTCTATCCTGTTGCTGCCATCTAGTGTCCATTCAGATTTTTGCAGCCCAGATCTGGGAGATTTTACACTTGCTTGTGTACAAAGAAGGGCCCCAACTTGCTGTTTGGAGGAAAGATAGCCTGCAGCTGGACAGAGTGGTTCTGTTGTGGCTTTGGAGAAGGCATTACAGCTTGTTCAATAAACAATGGCTTCAAAATACTAGTTCCTCATGAAGTGATAATGCAGCTGTCTTCCTGCTAACGTTAAAGAAAAAATGTTTGTCCAACTTTTCAGTCCCCAGCGTCAGAGTGAATTCAGAGGTTGGGGGGAGTAAATTTGCCCAGAAAGGGTGCATTCGCACAAGAGCCTTCAAATTGCTCCGTCACACAGAAGTGAGCCAACACTGAAACTCCAGGCGAAGGCAGCTCGTAAGGTCGTAACTGGTCTTTGGAAAGGTGCTGTGGAAACAGCCCAGGCGGCTCTGAGAAAATTCTGCCACTGCAGAATAAGCTTCTGACAACGGGGGGGAGAAATGGGGTGACTCTCTCATGGCCCCCAAGCCCTCCCCTGCCTTATTTCAGTGGCCCCAAAGGACCACATCACACTGCAGAAGCAAAACCACTGCCTGGGGAAGACCACTGTTTGCTCTTCTTTTTTTCATCTTAAAGAGCTACCACTGAGAAAGGGCGGGGAGGGATCCCTGCCGACTGTGTCCCCAAGGCCCTTGGAGGCTTAAAAAATTGGGTGGGACAGAAGTGCAGCCCCCGGCTACAAACAAGGCTGCCTGGCCTGCTTTCCTCTCCCAAAACCTGCAGACACCTGGGATCAAGCTGTGAAGGAGAGGCTGGTGTTCCTGGTCTCCCGCAGAAAGACAGACGCCCATAAAATGGTTCGCCGAATCCTCGGTCTTTACTCACCAGTCCATGACGCGGATCCGCATCTTCTCACACATGGAGGGAAACTAAAGGGAAGAGCAGAAAGGGCCGATCAGAGAGACCCTTCGGGGGAAAGCAGGACGCGCAAAAGGCACGGGCCCCTGTTGCTCACCATGGCGGGCAGCGTGATGACCTGGTTCCACTGAGGATTGGCGTTCTTCTCCACAATCTTGCTGCAGAGCTGGTCGAGGGAAGACAAGAGGCATCAGAAGGGTCCTGAGCAGAGCCCCTTCTCCCTGGGGGTGCCACTCCCCACCTCTGGGCAGTAATCGGGGAGGGAGTTCAAACAAGTAAAAGAAAGCTACGGGCCTTAATGGGCGTTTCCCTCATCCCTGGGATGGCAAAAAAGGATGCCCAGCCCAATCGTGCCACACAAGGTCTGAACACCCTTCAGAGGTTCTTCTGTCTACACTGGAGGGCTGGTCTATCCTGCAGCCCAAGCCATGGGGGGCTGAATGGAGGGAGGGGCTTAGCCCGCCAGAGACTCAACTGGCCAGGCTGAGATGACAGGCATGGCATGAATTGAGTTGGAAGAAGAAGGAAAACTCCATTGTGCGACTGGAACAACTGAGGCACGAGCAACTGGGACATATTAAAGGACCTGCCCTTCCGAGAGGACATACTCTTTAAAGAGACTTAGCAAGTTCTGATAGTGCGCACTGCCCAGAGTCACACATGTGAGATGGGTGGCTATATAAATGTAATAAATAAATGAATAAGTCATCATTTGGACTTATCCTTGGTGAGGAGGGAGAGATCCCTGCTCTGTGATCTATTACATGTTAAAGATAATCCCCTTTCAGACATTCATCTGGATCCGTGTCAGAAAAGAGAAGTCACTCCTGTTCCAGCAGAGCAGTGAGACAAGGCCAGAGGGCTCGTGTTTGCCTCTTCCCTCTCCTTGACCCATCTATACATTCAGACAAACAGACGAACTCTTTTTGCCTGTCCAGCATAGGACCCCCACCAGCAGAGCAATGAAGGGTCCTAACCTGAGATAACTTTCAACCATATGTTGAGAAACAGCTTTCTCCATATAGCTACACAGTAGGGGGAAGTCTGAGAATTGGGAAGGGCTCTGAAATGCAAGTGTGACACATTTGCACATATGTGTACAGGCTACCAGGCTAAGAGCACTGGCCTCCAGATGGTTCAATAACCCACGGGTTCTTTTCGGTTTCCTAGCTTGGTCTCTCCACATGTGCTGGACTTCCATGCTGGCACAGGAGGAGCTGAAATTCAGCACACCAAGTAATGGTAGCCTTAGCAATCAATAGGTGCATGCCTGCACTTATTAATTTATCTTTGAATTTAATTCCCCCTTTCCACTCAACAGGTCCTCCAGTCCCTTTACAAGAAATAACTGCAGTTGTAGTCAGAGCTTTCAAGGAGCCACTAGGCTCCTAGACATTTTAAGGAAGAAATGTTCCTGGTCATGTATCTCTGGAAATAGGAAGACTTTCCCCCATAATCCTTCCCACTTCATGAGACTGGGGGACCTGCACATGTGGTATAGCTGGCATACCATTTTCCCTGCGAAGGTAACTTCCACAAAGGGATCCACGAGGTTCTTCTTGTTGCTTTCAAAGCCAAAGATCTGCTTGACACTGTCCATTACGGCATCATCCACTGGAATCATAAAATCATACGGTTGGAAGGGACCTTGGAGCAGAAACTGGTGGATGGGACCAGGGAGGTGGGGATCGACTTTCCCAGGGTAGCATGAGAGCAAGTTTCCCAGACCCTCCTAGGCGCAAAAAGGGACAGAGCTAGAGAAGTCCAGATGCTAAAAAGACACGATTGGCCACACGTAGAAAGGAGCTGAGCCATTTGTGCTTTCAGAGCTACTTGACATTACTTTTTTCAGTTGCCTTCCCTTGTTTGCAATTGTGTAAAAAACACACCACCTTCCTATTGTTTCCTGTGTAATCGGCTACCCCCTGAAACCTCAGCTATTGTTCAAGCAAGCCTTGGAAATCCTGAAGGAAACATCAGCCCCACTAGGCAGACCAGACCAGGCAACCTCTTAACTTCTGGGGAGCTAAGGCTAAGACTACTTTGGTTGAGATGGGCTCTAAGAACAGAATCATGCACGCCTGATTGTGCTGGACCTCCTCCTCCTCCTCCTCCGGTGCATTAGGGAGGTATCTGTCTGAGCCACTTCCAAACGTTATCCGTGCTTTGGACTTAAAAACGTTTCCGCCCCTTCTGCCTAGTGAACAGCCTCTGCATATCTCCATCCAGGTCATCCTCCTGATGCTCTGCACCAAGTCAAGATGGCTGGCCTGAGAGACCGTCAAGTCTTGGCCAGCCCAGAGGGACCAGACAAGGACTGTACATCCTCTGCCCCCTCCCCAGCAAATTTCTTGACCCAACAAGGGGAAGAGCAACCGGCCCACGTAGCCCCTCCCACAGCTCTGCTTATGCTCACAAGGCTGCGAGGAGGGAGGGAGGACCACCTCCCCCTCCCCAATTATCTAGTTATTTTGTTCAGGATCTTCATTACTCCAAACTTTTATCCTGCAGGATAGAGGGCATGTTCAAAAAATAAACAAGACAATCTAGCTGTGATGCACCTAGCCTAAAAGATTTTAAAACTGATAAAATAAAAATATCTAACAAGCCGAGGCAGGGAAGAGCAGATCCCCTCCCTCACATGCCAGGGCTCTGGCCAAGTCTTCCCACAGAGATGCTGTGAAGAGTCCAAAGCCAAAGACATCTTACATCAGTCACCTCCCAAATTCTTAACACTCCACTTGTCAGGTTCAGCCCAAAGAACTCCACGAGACAACGCAAATACAGTTCTGTGCGTTTATTAGCTTCCACCTCAAGACAGAATCTCTCCAGACTGAATCTAAACTTCCCAAGCCAGCCAGCCACAACACCGTGAATTCCTTAGGGAGGTGCCAGCCTCATCTTCTTGAACTTCCCACGCTCCTGTTGGGGGCTAAGAGCACGCTTATCTCCCTGAGCGTGGCCATAAGTCCATTCCATCACACCACTAAACTTACAAAAATTAAGCTCTTTTTTTTTTAAAGAAAAAAAAAACAATTCAGAAACAATTGCACTCTATTAATATAATTGCTGGGAGTCGGGCAGCATATACATTTAATAAATAAAATTATTATTATTATTATTATTATCATCATCATCATCATCATCATCATCATCATCATCATCATCATGCAGAACACCCAGGATGTCCCTCACCTGACCGGAGAAAAATATCAAGTGAGGAGTCACAGGGTTTAGTCCCGGATTCATCACTCATCGATATTTCTATTAATGACTTAAATGAGGAGATGACTCATCCAAGAATCCTTATCAAATTTGCAGATGGGACAAATTTGCATGGGATAACTAATACCCTAGAAGTGAGAAATAAAATTCAAAACAATCTGGATAGATTAAAGAAATCTGTCCAATCAGTTATGTTCCGTACCAATAGGAGGAGCTTCTTAACGGTTCTCAGATGGATGAAGATTCAGGCGACTGCTATGTAAACGAGCAGCTGCAAAGTTCCCTGTCCTCAGTGAGGACAGCCACTTATCCCCAGGTACACCATTAGGCTGCGAGAAAGAGGCTCAGAAGGTCTCTGAGACACAGTGCCTCTAACTGGAAACTTAGTTCAGTTGCTGGAGTTCCTGTACCTTAACCCTCTCACCTCAGTAAACCTTGTTAAAGAAAACTGTGTGAATTGTGCTCGGAAAAGAATCACATTCAGTTCAGGCTGCTGCTGAAAGGCCCAACAAGCTTGTTCTTGTTCTTATGAAGCAAGCGCAGCAGCCTTCCAGAACCAGATGTCTGGCAGGGGTCTTGAATAAGAAGTCCCATCATCCACCACCAAGAAAAGGTGCCTTCAGCACTTTGCTTCCACTATTTTCCCCCACAAACCATCTCCTCCCTTCTCCCCTCCCCTCCCCCCAGCAGAATTGCCCTCAACCCCACACTCACTCTGGGGCAAGTCTTCTCCTCGATAAATCTTGAGGGAGAAGTGGGCCCCTCTGAGAGACACCCCGGGCAGCTTGAGAATATTGCCCTCAATATCTTCTTTTTCATCAGCAGCTTCCTTCTTTTCCACCTGTGAAGAAAGGGGGAGGGAAATGAAGCTCTCTCCCGCCTTTCATGCCTTGGGACTGGGGTACCTAAAGGATCACCTGTAGAGACAGGTGCCTTTCATCTTCTCAGACACACCTGGAGCCCTGCTGTCTCCCTCCCTTGAATTCCTGCCCCCTTGGCTCCCTCCCCTCCTGCCATGATGATTCCACCAAGGAGGCATCAGGCTTCACCTCTTCTTGCCAGCCCAGGAAATATGGCGGGGGGGGGGGGGGGGG